GTAACGTAGGACGCGTGTCGGCTTAAAGATCACAACGTGATCGGACGCGAGGCACTTTGTGTGTGATTCAGTGCACACTTTTAGGGGCCCACCGAATGGCGTCGTCTCATAATTTTAATCTTATATTTTTTTAGTTAACAATTTAATTTTTTCAGAATTATTTATCTTGAATTTAAAATATTTATTATGATATTACATTTTTTTTTATTTGTCTGATTTTTAATCAATACAAGCACTAAGAAGTACGGCAACCAAATCCTTACATACCTCTCGTCCCTTCTTCCAATGACCAAATTTGATCCAATCCTGAAACTATTCAGCCCAGGGTCAACTTTTGGGCCTTAGTTTTCAGATACCCTTGGCCCAAACTAGGTTCATGACCTTGTTTCTTTCAAATCTACACTGAATCCACTCGAGCTTATTTACCTCTGCTTTGTGATATATGAGGAGAGAGAGAGAGAGAGAGAGAGATGATTATATATATTTTTTCCTTATAAATTTGCATGTCCTTGTATGTCCTTGTAATCAATTTCTAGTGTTTGATTGTCATGTTTGTCAATTTGCTGAAACTCTATGTATTAATAATAATAATAATAATAATAATATTAGAGGTGTTTTAGATACTTTATATATTTAGTTTTACTTGCAGTTAGAAATGAGTGGTTTGAGTTTTTAAGATTAATATATACATGAAGGATGTTAATATTCGACATACATACATATTAGATAATGTAAATATTTTGAGATAAATGGTAAGCACTACTTGGAGTAAAGGCCTGAATCCAAGAATCATCGAGGGAAATTTTGAGATATGAATCATTCTTAATCCTCTTGACCAATAACGGATGAAAACAAAAGGTTGAGATCATGTAGCATCCATTCAGCTTTAGAAATGAAACCAGATGTTTCGGAATAATGGTTCAAAAACCCTACATTAACAAAAAAAAAGTTAGCTACTTGGAAATGGGGAGGTTATTGATCCATGGGTCCTCCCTCCCAAGTGCTAATACAAGAGTCGTCGGATCCAACAATCTTCCTGAAGCTAGTTTTAATGTTGGAAATAAGAGAGCAAACATTTTTTCCAGTTGAAAGAGAAAGGCTTTGGCTTGTGGTTGGTCCACGGGTTGTATTTTGCTTTAAAGACCCCAACCTATGTCGTGTTGTCATTGTTTAGAAGAGAAAGTTATCTTTTATGCTTAGTGACATAGTGTCAACTAATCAAATTCAACCCTTTTGAATTAAATAAACCAGACCAGAAAAATTCATTCTTTAAAAGGCATACAATCCTGTTGAGGATATAGTCAAAAAATATATAGTTCATAAGATAGTAAATAAAAATAGAATTGATGACTAGATTAATTAAGATGATTTTCCTAGTTTGAGAGAGATGGTTTTTTTTTGCCAATCTTGAATCCTAAGGACTTTGTCCACAAGAGATTGTTGAAGAGGAACAAGGAGTTGCTTGTGAGACACAAATGAACTAAGGTATCACATTGGCTAAAGTCCTTTATTGATACCCACTGATGAGCATATTCTATGCTTGATTTAGGAGTTATAGTATCTTGAAAAGAATAATTTAGATTTGATATATTATGGTCATAGGGAAAAAGTATAGGTCGAAGACTTTTGCACAAGTTGGAATAGATTTTAGGGGTACTTCCAAAGACAATCAAATTGTGAACTTTATTATCAAGGGGCACAAATAAGACTTATTGCATCACGATGAAAAAATATGGTAAGAGAGGGCCACCTTGTCTAATATCACTGTTATTCCTAAACCACCTAAAGGCATAGGCATTCCCAAGGTAAGCAAAGGTAGATGAGGAGATGTAGGCTTGAATCCATTTCATAAGGATATAGAGGAATCCTATATGAGAAAGTGTTTCAACAATGGCAAACAAGGAAATACTATCAAAATCCTTAGAAAGGTTTAACTTAAGAATAGTAAAGGTTTTGTTGCCCTTGATGTTGGTCATGGAGTGGGTTAGCTCATTGGCAATAAGGGTATTATTTTAAATGTTATGGCCTAGGACAAAAGAAGATTGAGAATCATTGATTAGGTTGTTAAAATAGGGCTTGACTCTATTGGCAATAACGTTAGTAAGGATTTTGTAAATAACATTACAAAGCGCTATGAGTCTATAGTCTTCAATTCTAGAATAATTAATCTTCTTGGGGATAAAAATCAAGTGAGTTTTCTCCCGACTAAGAGGAATAAAACTAGTGTAATGGAAGATTGTTTCTTTAATGGTATCCCATGAACCCTTAAAGAATTCATATGTGTATCCATCAAGGTCAAGGCTTTTACTAGAGCCCATGTTAAAAACTATATAATGGATTTCGTTAAGCGAGAACTCACAAATGAGTTTGTTGGAGTTAAGGATATTATCAAGGATAGGGATTGAGTTCCAAGCCCTAGAGAGAGAGAGAGAGAAGGGGTCAAACTTCTAGAGGTTCAAATACCAATTGGCAAAGCTGTTCGTAATTTCCTGATTGTTGGTAATGATCTCATCACTAGCAAGATGAATCAAAGAGATGAAAGATACCGTTTTCCTAAGTTGAGTAGATCACCAATAAAGATGATCCCGCTTGGTAAGGGTTGTCAACCTATTATGGAGAGTTTGCAAGGTATGACATTCTTCCTCACTAAGAGGATGAGAGGTTTGCTTTTTCTCAATGGAGGTGATGGAGTGCTAAGTTTTAGTAATAGAGCGAATAAGGTTGTCACCTCCCTTTTGTTTTCACTCGGCTAAGAGGAAGTGAAGTTTACATAGGCTTTAGGAAATAGAGATCATGGGGGAACAATAGGGTGGACCTTAGCTAGGCATTAGAGATGAAGCTTTTAATCTTAGGAATGTCATTCCAATGAGTGTTAAAATGGAAGATTTTCTGATAGATTTTGTGAGTCATATGTTGATCGACAAGAATAAGGAATTGGAGAAAGCATGAATTCAGGCAAAATTAGCATAGGCTTTGTTTAGGCAGGCAAAGATCCTAGATTTACCAAATATTTTATTTGTCTAGATAAATAGGGTACTTTTAAAACCCAAATCGATAAGCTTTGAATTAAAAAAATATAAAAAATTAAAATCGAATTGCTTAAACATAAGGGTTGACCATCAATTTTTTCATAACTAAAGATAATGTTTGAAATCTCCACAAATCATATATGGAAAACCTTGTAAATTGAGTTTACAGAGGCGTATCTAAAACAAGTTCTAAACGTAAGCTTTTGTACTCACACAAATAGATGAGAGAATATAAGGAGGCTTATCGGCTTCTTGGGCTATGATAGTTATAAACTAAGAGTCCTTACCGATGATCGAAGCCTTGATCATATGTGATTACCAAGCTAGAAAGATTCCTCCCGATCATCCTTGCTTAGCCACATAATCCTCTCCTAAGAGCACCCCAATCTTTTGAAAATTTTGTTATTATGTTCTTCCTGCATGTGAGATTTCAAGAGCATAAGAGACCAATATTGTGTTGTTTCAATAGAAGGAACACTTGTTCCTTGCTTTCTTTCTTCCTAGTGCCTCTACAGTTTAGAATTGATACTTCATAGAGAAATTAGGAGGGAGAAATTGGGGGTTTTGGAAATCATGCTTCCAAGTAAAGGAGCTAATCTCTTGTAAAGATCCATTTTTTTCTTTTTATTTTTGTGTCTAAAACATTTAATGGAGGGTAAAGAGACTCCTTGAGTAACGTATTGGTGAGCTCTAGAACCTTCCTGTTGTTTATAGTTTGTCCACTCCAATTTAACCTCCTCAAGAAGGAAGCTCGCAACCCTTCCATCAACATCTGTCATGATCCTCGTAAAGACCTTTGCCATTATGGTCACCAAACCATCAAAGGTTCTAAGGTTGATTGAGGGAGGAGATTGCCCTTTAGAGGGAGTCAATTCTATCATCTTCTCCACTTTGAAAATGAATTTCTTATCCATGAGGTCAATCATCGGACTAGGAGGAGGGTCCAGGTCCATTGACCCTAGGGCAAGGAAAGGGTTTGAGAGGGGGTTAAGCGTTTGCTTCCCTTTTGCTCTCACAGTAAACAAGGAGTTATATGTAACCTGACATAGAACAGAAGGAGAGGAATCATTAAGGTTAGTTGGGACGATGCCCTTTGGAACAAGCACTATCTTGTTGTGATGGGAGCAGCATTCGAGGGTGGCTATCTCGGGAGAAAACATGAAAAAAGACGAACCAGCTATCATACGCCTCTTAGCAAATTTCTTGGGTAGGTTGCCTTTAGGTCCAAAGATTGAGGATTTTTGCACATCATCCGGGAATGGTTAAGTACCTAAGGACTCAAATTTTGAGTTTGATTGGCCAGTTTGACCCATTTTGGGTTCAACATTAGTTGACAATGCTATTTGAGTCCTTGAATTAAGAAGAACCCTAGTCACCTGCCCTTTGAGTGTGGCTCGGTTATGGACTTTGACCCAAGGTTTATAGAGTCTGTCCTCCTCCATTGACTTTACTATATTTTTATGGTTACCGTCAATGGAGCTGACTTTCTCCTTTGATAAGGGGCAAGACTCTATTTTATTGTCAACTAGGTTGCAATCAAAACAGAAGGTTGGGATGTTCTCGAAGATAATAGATTGAAAAAATTAGGAGTCTCCGATCATGACCTAAATCCCTTGAGGAAATAATTTTGAGAAATCGAATAAGACATAAACCCTATCGAACTTGGCTCTATAGCCAAACCGAATATTCTTATCAATCTTATGGGGATGATTAACTTTAGCAGCTATCTCAAAGAGGAGGTCAGGGTGAAGGAGTTCTATGGGAAGCCTTAGAAATTAGGCTCAGGTAGGGGCCTTTATGAAATTTTTAAGTCAATATCTTCCATGCTTAAGTCATAATAACAAAATAATTTAAATATTCACATTCATTTGAACTATCATTTTTTTTTGTAGTGGGATGAAATATGATTGAACTAACACATGTCAAACTACTATTGGGATCAATATACTATTGGGTTCAATATTTCTCCTATCTAAATGTCAATTATAATATTTAGACTTTTATACCTTCAAATTATAAATAATATATACCAGTCAACACAACAAGCCATCTAATTGTCCGTATATAATACCGACCGACGCACGTATTTGATGCGGAAACCTTCATATCCCAATCAACTACTCGTACTCACAAAAAGGTTGCAATAATTTCGACGTACAAGATGGTCCTAAAAGTCGGGTAAAACCCATGCTTGTAACTTATTATTGTCGCGACCAAAGTTGTGGGGCGTATTTACTTTTTGACTCGATATATATTAAGCGGAGCAGAAGGGCACGACATCGACCGCCGCTTACGGGGCGGCTTCCGGGCCCACGTCACGCTCGCGTCGGTGGGCTGTTCCACCGTCCCCGTGCGTAAATTTGACACCGGCGGACACGATTTGGAACTCACCTTCGCGACGTACCGGTTGGGTGTCGACCAGTCACTTGCGACTCTCGGACAGCACGTGTTCGAGAAATATGAGATCATATGACGTGGCAAGAGGATCGCCTCGCGATTGCGTCTCGAATGGGACGAGTTCTCGTGGCACACGCGCGTGGCCAATTCAGACGAGCTCCCACGCGGAAGTCGCTCGCGGACGCCTTTCCGCCCGCCGGCCTCCTCCGTCCACCGTGCAAAACGTGGTCAAGCTCTGCGCCTTCCGCGGTCTGCACGATATAAACCCCTCCATACCACAACCCATTTCCCCATCTCAATCCCCACGCCTCCTAATAACACATCGATTCCTCCATCTTACATCTCTCTCCATGGCTTCTCTCAGTGCTCCATCTCTCGGCTTCAGTCTCTCCAACTCCTCCTCGAGGAAGCTCTCCGGCCTCCAACAGAACACCTCTCCTGCATCACTCAGGCTCGGCTCCTCGCCGAGCAACAAACTGCAGCTGAAATCGATGCGTGGAAGGCCTCAGTCATCCGCCATCAACGTCTCCCTTTCCTCCACCAACCACCCATCTCTCGAGTCCGGTGGTGGACCAGGTAGACCTCTCTCCTTGTGCTGATCAAATGCTTTCGGTGCTCCCTCTCTTGAACTGACGAGCGAAGCATTCTCTTGGTCCTCGTCAGCTACCGACGTGCAGGAAATGTGCGTCTACGAGATCAACGAGCTCGACCGCAACAGCCCGGCCTACCTTCGTTTGAGCCAGAAGGACGTCAACTCCCTCGGCGACCTCGTCCCCTTCAGCAACAAGGTAAGTCCATTCTTCCAACGTCGAGCGATCGTCACTAGCGTAAGTTTACGAAGGGAGGGTAACGAGAAAGAGGAACCACGAACAGGTATACTCCGGGGACTTACAGAAGCGGCTGGGAATCACGGCGGGGCTGTGCGTGCTGATCCAGCACGTCCCGGAGCGCGTCGGCGACCGCTACGAGGCCATCTACAGCTTCTACTTCGGCGAGTACGGGCACATCTCGGTGCAGGGAGCGTACTTGACGTACGAGGACACGTACCTGGCCGTCACCGGCGGGTCCGGCGTGTTCGCGGGCGTCCGCGGCCAGGTGAAGCTGCGCCAGCTCGTGTTCCCCTTCAAGATCTTCTACACCTTCTACCTCGAGGGCATCCCCGACCTCCCTGAGGAGCTGCTCTGCTCTCCGGTGCCGCCTTCGCCGGAGGTCGAGCCCACGCCCGCCGCCAAGGCTGCGGAACCCCACGCCGCCCTCAACAACTACACCAATTAGTGGCAAGAAAGCTATTATTAGGAGGAGATATAGGAGATGCGGGCCCACAAGAAAACTTCCAGCCAAAGGGGCAAAATTGTCACTTTCTTCTTTCAACCCTTTTTCTATAAAAATTTTCAATTATCGAGTAATTATATTTTAAAAGCGCACACACACATACACACACACACATATATATATATATATATATATATATATATATATATATATATATATATATATATA